GCCATCGCTACTAGGCTGGAGGCCATCGCTATTAGGTTGGAGGCCATTGCTATCAGGCTGGAGGCCATCGCCGTTAGGCTGGAGGCCATCGCTCTTGGGCTGGAGGCCATGGTTATTGGGCTGGATGCCCTTGCTATTAGGTTGGAGGCCATCGCTATTAGGCTTGAGGCCATCGCTCTTAGGCTGGAGGCCATCGCTATTAGGTTGGAGGCCATCGCTATTAGATTGGAGGCCATCGCTATTAGGTTGGAGGCCATTGCTAATAGGCTGGAGGCCATCGCTATTAGGGTGGAGGCCCTCGCTATTAGGTTGGAGGCCATTGCTTTTGGGTTGGTCCACCAAGTCCTGGAGCTACTTGAGTGACCCGAAATATCTAACGTCAACCCAGGTTTGAACCCGGCGGTCGCGCGTGGGCCTCAGGACTTTCAGATGTGGAGAACGGTCCACACAGATGTCGCTCGAAAAATGGGTTGCAAAGAGGACCACGGATGCTCTATGATGCTCTCCATCGTCGGTTTGGTGGAAGAAAAGAAAGACTCTTTTTGTTTGGTCAAAATGGATCGTAGCCTTGTGGAACACCTGAGCTGCATCTGTGGTTCACATCCGCAGCAGTATCGGCGAGCCGATGTCCGCTCTGCGGCAAAAAACGGTATCCCCTGATGGTGTGGAGGCTGATCGTTGTGGTGAGCTCCGTCCTCCACAGTGATACCTCGGCAGCCTTCTATGCCTCCAACTACTGCCTGGCGCAGCTCTTCGCCGGGCTCGGCACCGGAACGGGGATTGGCTCAGCGAACGCGGACAGAGGTCGATGCGAGTGGATTGTGAGAAGTGGCCGTTGAATGCCATGGATTGATGTGAACATTCGTACTTTTTGGACTGGGAAACGGACTAGGACTAGGAATGGGCTCCGAGGTTCCTAGAGACTTTGGAACCCTGTGAAGAGTCCAGTCACTCAGTGATGTTTTTGGACGTTGAAAGGATGTGAGTCGTGCGGTGTAGCGGTGTAAGCCATCGAACAGACGGGCCGCATCCGGCCGCCTTTTTTTCAGAGAACACTCCGTCGGTGTTTCGCAGCTACGGAGCTGCTGTTGCTGCTAGGGTGACCTCTGCCGTCCTTTTTCGCTCCACCCATGCCAAAGAGTGCGCCATGGGGGACGGCAGAAGGTTCGTCGACGGAGTGGAGGTTGAGATAAGATGGATGGACTGTCCTCACACTCATCATGCAAAAGACCTATTACTGCTGTACTGAGAATTGCACCAAATACATCCAAATACCCTTGGCAAGAATCACTTCTCACAGGGCTTTGAAGTTATCTTCTGCGCTTTTTTGCAGGTATGCGTCTAAGAGCAGGACAGCAAGGCACCGGTGTCGCACAGCGTCTCTCCATGCGGTTGCAGAGTGCAGTTGATGCAGTTGCGTCTCTCATTCAACCGCCACGAGTCTGTGTTTTGCATGGTGCCCACAAAGCATGGCCAAACTGATTTGCCTGTGCTCTGCAGAATGTGTTGAGATAGGCACTCCAAACTTGGAGCAGAGCCATATCTGGACCATCGAGTTTGCATACCGATTTCCAGTTCGGCAAATTAAGCTTGGCGGTCCCCTCCTATCTATGACAGAACACATGGAAGAAGATGTTGCGAAACCACGGATAGGTCGCGGTCGCAGCCCCTCAGTTTGGGGTTTTGCCTGATTCTTCGGATGAATTGAACCACCACAGAATGCTTCGGACTTGCATTCAGGTTGCCCTTCCAAATGGCCTGAGCTGTGGCCTCAGAGAGATCTCAACCCACGAGTGGAGTGACTGCTGGCATTTTTCCGATGGTGAAAGCTGTATGTCAGTTGTGACACGCTATTGCTCAATGTTTTTTGTGCTCCTTGTCTGGCGCCATCGAGGTCTGTTTGACCGAAGCGGGACCCACCGACTTCTTGCGCGAAGAACCCCGCTGTGGGCGGTCGCAGCAAAGATGCGAAGATCTGGCGGTCAATTTCCTTTCCTTCCCTTCCCTTCCCTTCCCTTCCCTTCCCTGCCTGACTGATTGTTCAGCCCTAAAGGCAAAGTCATGATATATCATGATATATCATCCTTTCTTCGGAAGTGCTATGTTTGTGTGCTTCTTGCCAACTGGCCATGTTTTGTTGGGAGCGCAAAAAACAGTCTCAAGGGCGCAGGCTGTTTGGTAGAAGGGCGTCGATATTCATCCACTTAGACGGCCAGTGTTTTCGGTTTGGTCATTCTTGCGCAGGGCTTTTCTCAAAGCATCCCACATGGCCATGGCATAATCCAGCTTGCCCCAACAAAGAAGGCTGCGTGAAAGATGGTCAAAGCTAAACAGCAAAAGCCCAAACCATGGCAGACCACTGTGTTTCTCATGTTTCTTGAGCTCCAATGTCGCTGAGCAATGGCGAGATTGGCATGGCACGTGTCTTCTTGCTGCGCGCATGCCTCGGAAAGATTCCAAAGGGGGACTTGATCGGCGGTGGACCACCGCACCGCAAGGAGCAGGTGCTTATGAATGAGATCCCCGGGACAAAACCTGGTAAAACCACTCACATGAGACTTTCTCCTTAGTAGCTAGAAGCTCGTAGGTTGGAGGCCATCGCTTGTAGGTTGGAGGCCATCACTGCTAGTAGCAACCATTCGACTACCAACGGAGCGAACGAAGCGAACGGCTGGAGGTCCAGCTCTCCAGCTTTCGCTCCAAACCGGGCGATTGCTGGATGTCATGCGGCCCGAGTCGGACCCCCTTCGGCCGGACTCGTCGGGCGGCGTCAAGGCCATGGCGAGCGTTCGGATGGGCCAGGCCTTCCTTCACCAGGCGCCGGGGAGCGGTGATGTGGAGTCGCGGAGGGTGAGACTTCCTCCGTTCCAAAACAGGAGCCAAGGCTTTTGGACAGTGATTCTAGTGTTAATATGCTATGGCTATGTTGATATGATCGAGTTAATGTATATTTTTATATACTATTGATATTACTTGATTCTGGTGCTTACTATAAACATGACTACTTGTACCATTAATACTAAGAAACCAGAATACACTGTATATTATGTCGTTTACCTTGTCCCTCTGACTTCTCTGCCAGGTGTGGCAGACGCGCCCCTCTCAGGTGCTGGAGTCTGGCAGGTGCCCGCACCAGTCGATTCCCCTTCGTGCGTCAGATGGAGGTCCGGTAGCTGGACATCCATTTCATTCCCCCCAAACTCTCCCCCTTTGCAAAGGACCCGATCGGCCAGATGGGGTTGGCTCAGCCAGATCGGGTCAAGCTGGGCCGTGTCAGTGTCTGAGACCTCTTCGGATCAGAGTCCAGTCCGCAGGCACGTTTGACTGCACTCCGTCTCAAAGAGCTGCTGGGGGAAGAGACGTGTGGGGCTCAGCGACGTGGGTCATGGCGCCGGAAGACCCACCGGTTGACCTACGAAGCCTGGAAGGATCCTGGAAGGTTCGCTGACGTGGTGGATCAGCCATGTCAATTGATATCAACGCGGTATGGGTCGAAACCGGGACCATGTTGAAGCATCAGGTTCGCAGAAATCAGACACCGACCGAGCGAACTCTGTTGCAATTTGTCTCGGAAGGTAGTCTCTGACAAATCTGGATTGATGTGCCCATTCTGCACCTCGAATACACCGACCGAGTCCTTTCCTTCGGACCTGCGAACAGCATGGATTTGCTTTTTGTGGATGAACAAGGTACTTATTAACACAAAGCATTCTGCAGTCTCTTCGTGTCTCCAGATGCGAACATGATGAGAACATGCTTCACATCATCCTCTCGGTGATCAGCCCGCCAAGGCGGATCATGGTGGTCACAAGTCCAGCACGACGTTGCGTGCAGACGGCATGGCTGGTCGCCAGAGTCTTGGAGGAGGGATGAAGATCTGGGATGTGCAAGGACAGTGATCAGGGAAACTTCTCCAGAAGACAGGGCGAAGTTGCTTCCAAAGCAGATAAGATCAGTTGCCACCTTGGCCTGCAGGCATAAAATGTTTGTACATGTAGGCCCTAGGCCCTAGGCACCTTTGAAACTCAGTGGAGGTGGAAAGGATGTTATTGGTTGGCATCATGGGATCCTGCAAAAATACTCGCGCACAGACTCCATTGCATTTCAAATGGTCCGTTGCGAGCGTGCTCAAGTAGGGGAGGGCAGCGTGTTGACTAGTGACTAGAAGAAAGAATAAGGAGCAGACTGCAAGGTTCTCCCCCAAAGTAGCAAGCCACTGGGTTTTGGAGGATGTTCTACTTCCAGGTGGAACATGGTTTCCACCAGCGTCATGTTGAACCCGGAAAAACCTGGTCGAATTCGCCCGCGCGCAGGGCGCTGAGCGCTACGTGGAGCCGGGCCTGGCAGATTGGACGGAGGAGGCGCGTCGGCGGACATGGGAGGAGGTGTTGAGAGTCTGAGTCTCGTGGTTCCTAGGTTGGAGGCCATTGCTAGGTTGGAGGCCATTCCTCTAAGAGTTATTCCGTTTGTGATCGCCAAAGAGTGATGAAAAGTCATGAACTCAAAATGAGTTGACCAGATCGTTCACAAATCTGACCGGGTCGACCGGGTCGACCGGGAGCACGACCTGTGTGACGACCTGTGCACACGCATGGTGTCCTCCGGTGTTTCCACCCGCGCCTGTTCGAATCCCGACCAGCAGAATCCCTACGACCGAATTCCGCATGACGCCCTGGCCAACCACGCCCTGACGTACGCCCACCCGAAGGACGCTCGGAGTCCCTTCCGAAAAGGATCTGAGTGTCCTTCCTCTGTCCTGTTCGCTTGGGTCCGAGGGATCGACGAAGGGTCCGAGGGATCGACGAAGGTGGAAGCTATGGGAAAGCACCAGTCTTCTCTGGAAATGCATCTAAGTGAGGTTAAACATTGTGAAAAGAAACAACATAGAAAAAAACACTTAGAGAAAGTATGAACAAAAGAACACTTGCTGCACAGCGGCATCTCCTGATTGATTGAAGCCGTTTGTTCAACGAGAACGCCTCTCCCGACGGGTGTGTCCTTCCCTTTTCCCTCGCACAGGTGAACATCGACCGCGGTGGGACACCGTGCTACTGGCCGACCTTGAGCTCCGGACCTGTGTGGGATCGGCCGCCAGCGGAGGAGCGGAGGGCAGCGCGAGGGCCGCAGGACGACTGGCGTTTCGACCGCTGTTCGAAGCAATAGCCTTTGTTGAAGGAGCTTCGAATGAGGCAGAGGGTACAAACACACACACCATTGCAATTAGGTGAGGAATCTTCCAACTAGACCCATGATGTAAAGTGCGTGGGACTTTGTTTGCATGTTGCAAGTACCTCTCCGACTATGCCTCTCTGGACCGCGGTCTGGGTGTGAGTGATAAGTCTCCTGCAGGAGACTTGGGACATGGCAGTCGAGCGCTACCAAGTCACATGCGAAGGCGGGGAAGCACAGATTGCGGCTGCCAACAGAGCTGGATCTCGGATGAAAACAGGAAGAATCTTGCACAGAACCTTAGTCAAAGGAAAAGAGTCTTGAGATGAATCCACGCAGGGGAGTCGCTGAACAAATGGCTGGCTACGTTGAGTCCATGTGCAAAACAAGGGCAGGGGTTTGGTCGCACATCTCCCAATCAGGGTCCCCTGCTCGCCATCCTCATACCTTCATACTATGTCTATGAGGGCGCCCACGAACAGTGTTGACATTTGTTGAATGTCAGCCTGGCACATCACCTTCGAAAACACTCCGAAAACACCTCGACAGCAACATCGACTGTGGTATTTGCCGCCTTTGTTTGCCATGTTCGGCCCTCCTGGATTTTTCGAACATGGCCCACCATGGCCAGCTGGATCTGGCCCGACCTTCACGTCAACATGATCGAAGGCTCATTCAGCTCTCTGACTCAGCCACCAGGTCTCATCGTCCGGGCCCAGCTCCACTCGGTCTGCCTGTTGCTCTGCAGCCACCAGGCGGCCCTGGAGGCGCTAAGGCCATGCGGCTGGACGCAGGGGCACTGTGTGCTTTGGAATGACAAAAGGTTTGTCTTGTGGATGTGAGCGATGTGTGTATGCTCAAACATCAAAGTAGTTGGAGATCCAAATAGTCAATGGATATTCCATGATATTCCTGAGTCAGTTGCTGCACGCCCATCCCCAGTCAAATACAGCCGACCTACACTTTTGACCACATGCGACACATCGTGCTGTTGGACCAGTCGCAAGATGGTTGTAAGTTGTTGTAAACCTGCGTGAAGTTTCTTCCAAATTTTGCAGTACAAAGAAAGAGGGACACGTGAGTCTTTCCCCGGTTGCAGCTCACTTCGCCACCCTTATTCTCAACATGCATCTCCACAAGGCTCGTGCCTATCTACTCTATCTTAATCATGCACAAATCCATCGTGACGCGTTTTGACTCTTTTTTTCTTTGGGTTTAGGGTATTCTGCTGTCATCCATGACATGTTGATGTATCAACAGCGGTAGGTAGATCCTTGCCGGCCAAAGTGTGGGGCCAGGGGATCGCTGCCTCACAACTAGGAGGTGGCAACCCACCGGAGTTCAACACTCCTGTCTCTTTATCATGACAGATCATCAATGACTAAGTGACTAGGTCCAACACCATGGTCACCCGTAGTTACTAGGCTTTCTTCCGCCCCAAAAACCGGAATCAAGACACCCGGACGCGCACCGTGATGGGCGCTGGACCGATCTCTTCGACTGGACGGACCCAGGCATTGACCGAGCTCGGCGTGTCGCGAGCTGACGGACTGCAGCATGATTGCTTGGCCTGGCGTGCCGTGGTGAAGATCTGGTGGGGGTGGTTGGTTCAACACCCCAGATAGCCAGAAGCTACGAACGTAGCAGGTGCATCGTGATTAGTAACAAGGGCATCGCTACTAGTAGCAAGAAGCTACTAATAACAAGCATCTTAAAAGGCCTGTGAGATGGTTTGTTGTCCAACTGGACTGGTTTGGACTGGACAGCTGGACTGGTCTCCACAGGACAGCGAACCAAGACGAAGACGTTCACGAAAGTACTGGCTTCCGGTTCCTTCGAACGTACTGGCAAGAACATTAAGTTAAGGCAACTTGTGAAGAAGCACTGCTGGGAACTAACTCATCATGGGATGTGACACCAACAGATGTCCTCCAACACGGTAGCCAAGCAAACGAGGTTGCGATTGATGTGATTGGCTCAGGTGAGCGCTTCGCTTTTGTGGCGGCTCGAGGAGAAAAGCTCTTCTTGAGCCCCCAGTGCAGCCACGTCACTGCAAGGCGCCAGCAACCTCTAGCTGATGATATAATATAGTTATATAGGTATGATAGGTATATACAATATATAACTGGCTGAGCTTTTCTTGTTATATAATCTCTCTCTCTCTCTCTCTATCTTATAATGCCTTTGTCGTGAGGCTGCGACCTGTTGCCACCGACCTCCGGTGGGCGTCGGGCGAAGGTCGGTCCGACCTCGGTCCGACCTCGGTCCGACCTCGGTCCCCCAGGCCGTTCCAGATGGATCCAGATCTCGGAGACATCATGGCTGCTCGGAGACATCAAAGGACTCGTGACCGGCGAACGGTCACGGCGCACGGCGCACTGGCTGGTGTGGAGGGCAAGGACTCGTGTGTTGACCCTTTTAGGAGATAGAACAGTCAGTCACATTTCCGTTTGAAGATGTGTTGGACACCGTGCCACTATCTATTGGGGGACCACTACAAAGAGGTGCAAGTGGAGTTATTGGAGTCTTATTTCAAGACTTTGGGGGTCTCCACTGTAGACATCTCGTGTTCTCGGGTTTTTTAAACGCGTTCCACATGTGTGGCATGTTTGGTCTGCGTGGCGCCTCGCTTCTTCGCTTCCGGGGAGCTGGGAGGCGGCCTGCAGCCGGCTTAAGCTGGGGGGCGTGTGAGTTCCGGCCATGGGAAGTGAGAACGGCGACACGCCGTCCTTCGTTCCGTCCTGACCAAGGCGTTTCGAGTCATCCCTGTCAACGTTTCCGAAGTCCAATTTCACTCAACATGCATTTGCACATCCAATTGCGCAGACAAAGACGCACATGCAAAGATGCACGGTCAGAATCTTGTTACAGCCATGCCTTCGCATGGTTCAGCTCCCGGAATCATGAAGAATGATGGTGTCTAGAATTGACCCATGTCCAACCGGGGCCATCTCAGCCCAACAGCTGTCATTGGAGCGACCCATTGTGTCAGTGGACCAGGAGTCTGACCGGTAGTAAGTGCATTCTGGGGACAGATCGCCCACTCGCTCGGCCACTGAAAACCAAACACATCCGACCCGACATGTCGGTCTGCTCGCAGACCGACTCCTGCGCCGCTCATGGCGTTTTGTGGGGCTCGGCGCTCATGGCACTCCACCGCTCACCGATCGCCCGCGTGGTCAGCACCGCCAAACCGACTCCTCGGACCTGAGGTGCTGCAGCTGGACGAGGCCCGCCTGGTTCGTAGCAATGCCAGGAGCCCCTAGGCCCTAGCGTCCGAACGCTCCGTTCGTAGCGATGCCCTTTGCTCTTAGTAGCTCCTTTGCTACTAGTAGCCTGTATTTCCGTTTTCGAAGTCCAAGACCCTCGCCGAGTGGGACCGTAGTGGGACGTCCCGCTGAAAGTGGCCCCATGCGACATGGTAGAAATACTAGTATGTTTTTCAACACTCAGCTTCTCGCCAGAGACCGGAGACAGGCACCCCACGACAGGCACACCAAGTCTTCCCACTCCTTGCGACAGGCGCCCCTGACCTTGGTGAAGTCTCGTCGGGCACGGCATCTCCTCCTGTTCCTGCATGATGCGTGCCGCGGCTCAAAGCGGTGCCGTCCGGGTGGGTTTTGTTAGGAAAATGCAAAGATTGGCACAGACATACTTTGGTTGGGAGACGAGGCCATGAACAAACTATAACAAACTAACTATATACCAAACTGGGGTGGATCACAAAGGTAGGGGCAATGGGGTTTGCCGTTTCGCGATGTTTTTGCTTTTCATCCAAGAGATCCATCATTCCCCAAACAGTTTACTGTTAGGGGTTCTCAATGCTTTAAAGAATGGTCGCCTTGGTGCTGGATGATCTGGTCGGGTTCCCAGCTGGCTTGTCTCCCACTTCCTTTCATTTGTCTCCCACTTCCTTTCATTTGTCTCCCACTTCTTTTCATTTGTCTCCCAGGCTGGGTGCTTGTGGTCCGGTTCCCGGCTGGCTTGTCTCCCACTTCCTTGCATTTGTCTCCCACTTTTTCCCCCAACTGTTTACTGTTATTTATAGGGGTTCTCAATTCTTTCTTAAGATGTGTCCGCCCTTTGTGTTACTGCCGGTGTCCGCCCATTTCCACTGGCCATGTAGCATTTCTATTCATTTGTCTTCCAGGTCTGTCACTGCTGGTGTCCGCCCTTTTCCGCTGGCCATACAGCACTTCTATTCATGTGTCTCCCAGGTCTGTCACACTGGTGGTGTCCGCCCTTTTCTGCAGGTCGTGTAGCATTTCTATTCATTTGTCTCCCAGGTCTGTCACTGCTGGTGTCCGCCCTTTTT